TACTTTTTGTGCGGACACGCGTTTCAGGTTTGCGTTTGAAATCGTGCGCAGTTGTACTATATAAAACGGTATTTCAATGGCACATTCTAATGTCTTTGCAGCGACGAAATAATTTCAGTTCTGCACAACATAAATTACATATTATCTAATTACAGTTATACGAGTCTGTTTTTCATTTTAAAAAAGGTGTACATCTTTCTTTCGGCATACATCCATTTACTTATTTCGAAAGAAATATTATTTAATCTAAAAATTGATTTAAAAAAAAAGACACCTTACAGCATTATATGGAAAAACGATACAATAGATTTGTTCATTTTACTCGTATTTTCTATACGCTTGTATTTTGTTAGCTTGATCAGAAGATTAAGGGGATTTTAAACTGATGAGATTTACCGGTTACAAATTAAACATTTTTGCGAATTGATTGTACAGATTGCAAATCTTTTTACATAATTAAAATATGTATGTACACTAAAAAAGTGCGGTCGATCTCACAAAATAATTAAAAAAAAAAAAAGAGTAAAATATTACATTTAGTAGCTCATACATTTATAACTTAACGTAACCCAGAAAATAAAAGTTTAAAGTCTAAATTCGGGATATAAAACGTTTTAAAGACATTTGTACAAGAACTATATCCAAAGATATTTAAAAGATGTCTCATAAGACGTTTTATATCCCGATATTGGACTTTGCGTTATTTATCGTTATTTGCGTACGAATGGAGTAGTTTATCCGTAACACGAAACTATTTTCTGTTCGTGCAGAATTACAGTATTAGGGAGAAAACATCCCTTTGAAAAAAATCGATTTTTTTCTTTTAAAACGAATATTGTCGAAATTATAAAAGATAGAAAAACAATGTTTTTTTACACTTTTATCAATTGTTGTAAAGAATAAATTATTTACATACTGATATCCTGCTGACTCTTAAAGGCATTTACAATTTTATTATAATTTAGAAGTTAAATTAAAATAATTTTTTATGCCTTTATTCTTTGTTTGTATATTACATTTTTGTTACATTATTTTTGAAGTATTTTAAATATTTTATATTTTTCATTAAAGACGTGAGCATTTCTGCATTATCACAATAATCTGTTTCTATCTTCTATATAAATATCAAATCTTTATAGCATACTTGTAAGGGTTTATATAAAAAATTCTCTTTTTATTGAAAAAAAAAAAAAAAAATTAGATTTGTAATTTTCCAATTTCTGTGCAATTTCTGGATAAAATTGGCTCATCGATGGTATCGAATAAAATCTGGCTTACGAGATGAGATCTCATATCTGGTTATCCAACAAAGCGTTATCCGTTGCATTCCTAATAAATTTTATAAAAGATTTTATTACAGAATTTTTTTATAAATGTTTTTCTATTGGGAAACGTTTGCTTATAAGATTGTATTCATACTCGCAATTCAACTTGAGATCCAATTTAAACTAAGATTAAATCAGTCTTATTTGCAAAACGCTTCTCCACAATTTAATAAATCCGATTAGTCGAAACTTTGGTTCAAATCTAGTTTGCCTGAAATATATCCATCAATCGTGGATCTACGACTATGATGAATACGAACTTTAATATAAAAATTCTATAGCTTTTGTATATAAAAGAAGATTGTTTCACTTTTCGGATTTCATAAACAAACGAACATTACTGAATTCGGGGAACTAAAATAATTAGGATATCCATCATATAACTTTTTCTCTAGAGTGGAAACGTGAAAAATGAAAATTTGTATGTATGTATGTACATATTAGGGATGCAACAAATATCCGGTAACTGTCCGATATCTGGCTTATCCAGACGGTTTTTTATAATTCAACCCTTTGACCGGATTGTAAAAAAGTAGTTTTCCATAATTTGGATATAGAAATCATCATACATAAATTTTAATTTCAAAATATTTTATTATATGTATATTTGATCAATTTATAAATTACATATTCTTTTATTAATGTTTAAATATCAATTAACATATATAATGTAATATAATTTTTAAAAAATAAAATTATAAGTTCTGACAAAATAAATCAATAAAATTGTAAATGCCTGTAAAAGCCAATATAGGATATCAGTGTAAAAATAATTTATTCTACATAACTGATGAAAAGTATACGGTCCGATTTCAATTCATGATAGATTCTCTTTAGTATTTTTTAATTAAAATTATCGAAACATATACTTTTATCAATAATTATATAGAAAAAATTTACATCCTGTGTTGGTCCAAAGAGGTTTATAATTTTATTATAATTTAAAAGTTAATTGAAATAATTTTTTATGGCTTTATTCTTTGTTTTTTTTTTATATTTTTGTTACATATTATTTTTTAAATATTTCAAATTTTTCGTAAAAAATATGAGCATTTTTGAATTATTGGACAATAATCTATTTCTATCTCCTGTGTAAATAAGTATTAAATCTTTATAAGCATACTTATGTTTTACATAAAAAAATTTCTCTTTTTATTGTAAAAAAAACAATTAGATTTTCAATTTTTCAATCTCTTTGTGCAATTTCCGGATAAAATTCGATTATCCGGCTTATTCGATTTTGTCATATTTGATAAAATACGATTATCTGGCTTTGCCAGATAAGATTATGCAGTTATCCGACAATCATTATCCATTGTATCCCTAATACATATACGCATATACATATAATTTTTAATTCGTTGATGTGAATTTAACTCAGTTTTTTTTCTTCATTCATAAGTCATATTTTAATTATATTTCAAAAATGTCATCAATTCATAGATTTGCGTTGATTAATGTAATCAGAAAATTCTCTGTTAATTTATACATACTACGAAGAAGATACAACGTTTCGAGGGATAAATGTCATTATCTGAACTAAAAGGTTTAATTATATTATTTTTCTATACTCTTCAATCAGCGATGGCTCGGCATTTTACTTATTTATTGATTAAATCTTTGGAGTTATGTACGCTGTAGATGGCTGTTAATTTGAATTTTATAAAATTTAACTTTTTTTTTCACGTTTCCGTCCTAGAGAAAAAACTACATGATTAATTCCTACGTTTTTTGTTCCTACATTAGACTACATTAGAACTCTCTTTCTCGCTTTCACTAAATACTGAACATATATCTATCTTACTTTCCAAAAATGTAAATTCAGTTATAGAAAACAGGCCTAAATGAAAATCTATAGAAACCCTAAAAAAAAATTTTACTAGCACTGTAATTTACGCGTATATATGCGTATATATGCGTTCGACATTGATATATAGTAGTGATAATGTTGATTTTGAAAATCATATGTATATATAGTCATATGTATAAATTGAATGTGTGTGAATTGCACTTAATCGATAAAATTCACTAACTTAATATCCCAAACTCCGACGGGATCGCTATTTTACCGATTCAATAACACTTACATACGATTTACATGTTATCAACATATCATTACATACTAAATCTATTCTATAAAATTGCGTAAATGTAGTTGTGAAAGTGGTTGAGTTGTAAGAATTGACCAATCATGGTCGAATATTCGGCTGTGATTGATGAATTTTTACAATCACTTACAACTATGCTTACGCTTACAATTAGAATAGGCTTTACATCAATATCTCACGAACACATATAATTTTTCGTAGAACAATATCGTACAAAATTAAGTCATAGTACATAAGAAAACTTAAGCAGTAAAACGTAAACAGTTAGAAAATCAACATGTTGAATTTGCTACTGCTTACGTTTATAGATTTACGGTCTCTACCGTGATTGGCCAATTAGCTTATTGCTTATGTTTTATTATGTAAATGCCAGAGTCCTAATTCCAAGAATTCGAAGTTGTTTCTTCGTGTATTAGTCTGAAGCCTCCAATTCCGTAAGAACAAATTGTAGAGCATTTATATCAAGTAAATGTTGTCACGACTCGATAGTTTTAGACTAATTGTAAGTGATGATCTTAATTGCAAAAATTGTTATTCTCAGTATAAATTCCACGCTACAGATTATTAATGTAATACTTCAATTCTGAAAAAGATTTCCAAATCTGTAAAAGTAATATATGTGATATTTTACAAAAATTATGTTTAATCAGTAAAACAGACGATTTTAGGATCCCCTTAACGATATAAAAAAAAAAGGTGAAAATGCGTAAATGCATACGCATAACAAAATTATTGCTTCAATCTTTTATGATTCTATATCAAGTTAGACATAATGCATTGCGGTGATCTATCGTACAATTCTTAGCATTCAAAACTGTATGCGATTGTAATCGGCGCGCGAATTATATTTTTAGACCTCCATAAAATCTTTAAAATAATCAAAATTTGACACAAGTTAGACCAGTCAATTAGATGAGATTAAGAACGAAATACATGTATTTGATCCTCGCTCATATTTGTGAAAAATAATTTGAACAGCACAAAGTTAATATATATTTTATTACATTGTATAAATTAATTCAAAGTATGAAAGTATTGATCAAATTTTGGAATTATTAAATACTTCAATACAAAGATTACAAACAATAACAAAATATAAGTGTAAACAAAACGAAGAAATCAAATATACTCTAAAATTGGAATATCAAAAAAATATACATGATTTGTACTTTTTGTTGGTATTCTGGGAGATATTGAGCAGAGCACATTCCTTTATTACATATTCCCCTGTGAATTCGATCGCTTCAAGTTTTGAATTTGCCTGCATGTATTTCGTTATCACATAAACATGAGTCACTATCCTACATACCAGCGAAGATTTCGGGATATTCACTAAAATTTAATAGCGACATCTTTTCTTTTTTCTGTACATACTATAAGCAAGTATAAAATATAAAAAATTATAATATATATATATATATAAAAATTAAACTTTTGATTTTAACAGAACATATTTAGTATAGATCAATATATCTTTATAAAATATAGCGTAAAAATATCGCAAAAAGATAAATTTTGATTGATCATGTAAAATCGTAAAAATGTAACAAAATAAAAAAATAGGCCAATACATATTTTCCTTTGCTCTTGACTACAGAAATGGCTTAAGGATCTTTGTTCTAAAATAAGCGGCATTGTGCATTATAACAGGATATTCAAATCAAGATCAATATATTTGCCCGATATATTCGCTTTCGTGACGCCGCTAACCATTTCAATGCTAATATGCAGTTCATAAATGATAAAAGGTGAATCTGTACCAATCTGTATACAAATACTGTTATCAAGATAATGCAATTTCTTCGCTAAAAGTATATAAGTAAAAATTAACTTCTTGTATATTCATTATTCCAATGATTGGACCCATTCGTGTAATTAAAAATACATTCAGTCGCTTTTCATGATAATGGCAGAAGGTTGGACTACTTAATATTATTTAATTAATAAATATCAATTTTCTTCTAGATTACATTTTTAGTTACGTTATAGAAACAAAACTTTTTGTTACCATTCAAACACATTAGAAATGCGAACAAATGCAATTAAACTCATGTTCACCTTTTATCACTATGACACCACACGATGGACCACCTCTTTCCACCCCTAAAAAATTAGAAGAGGAAAAGGGTGGTCTGCCTCGCTTGCTACTTGGTCGCTTCGGGCGGACAATCGGGCTGATTGTTGGGGTGAGCCGCAGTGAAGGCCGGATGGTGTTCCAAATGACGGTCTACCCTCAGAATCGTAGGGAAGGGTCTGAGATCAACGTGAAATCTTCGTGCGTTGAATATCTGTGGTACCAAGCAACAATCCGCTAATGTAATCTCATCGCCGACACAGTACTTGCCCGCGCTCGACGATAACAACTTCTCCACAGCTAAAATTATTATTAGTATTTAATTATGCACATATTCATATATTAACGACAAGACGTGTAGTTTCCTTTTTAATATATTCAGAGATTGCGGAATTATGTGATTTTTTTCCTCAATAAACTTGATATTCAATAAATAATTGTAATTGCAAATATTTGTGACCTTCATACTACCAGCGTCTAAAGGCAATACATTAAACAAAGTAACTATTTATTTCTTTCATTTGCAACTGTTTATTAAAACTGTTTATTCATTTAAATTTGAAAGTTTTCGTGAAAAAACTTCATGTTTGCCCTTTATCACATAAATCTACAATCCTACACAATATTACAATTATTACAATTATAATGTTTTATTATCATTATGTGATACCTGTAAATCCTCTAGTAATCCAATGCTGCGCCCATTCCTTCTTACGTTCTTCTCCAACATAGATCAGAACAACAAGATTTTGCAATGGTTGTATACCACTGGCAATTACTTCGCAAATCTCTCTCACTCTAGCTCTTTTGACAGGATCCGCCGGCATCAATGGACGATTTGGCCTAGTTTCTTCCAAATATTGTAAGATATTCAACTATATTAAAAAAATTAAAAAGATTGTTTGTTATTATTCTAAAAAAAATATCAGAACAACTACAAGAATATTCATGACTGAATTTACTCACAGACTCTATCAAAGTATGATTGTCAATATGTAGCGCAGGGACTTGTTCCATTGGATTAATCTCGCGGAATTCATTGGAATGTTGTTCTCCACCACTCTTCACCAAACTAACAGGCTTTATATCATATGGTATCTCCTTTAGGTTCAATGCTATTAATGAATATCAGAAACATTTAAATCTATATACATTAGAAATGTATTTAAAAAATAAACTTTCTACAATAGCAATAAAACTAATTCTATCTATGAAATGACATTATAACCGGTTCATAATTGATTCTTATTTCAAAACTTATTTCAAGTTTTATATCTTAATATGTTAATACAACTCTATGGGCAGTATTCATTGTCAGTTCTTATTTTAAGACCGTGAAGATGTTAATACGGCTCTCTGATTGGTTCATGTAGAAATATTCTTAAAATAAGCAGCATATAATACCTACAAAGCGTTCAAAAAGCGCTAAAAAAGTGTATATAAGCGTCTTTTTAGAGCTTTGCAGGCATGCTAGTTGGAATCTTAAAACTGCACTCAAGATGGTCCCAGATATATAAATATCGTTCTATAAAGTATAATTAATTTATGACATATTAAGATTACACTTAAGATAATTTGAAATAAAAGAACTAACTAACATGAATACCAGTTTATAAATTCTATCCGTAAATTAAGATTATATTCTGATTACGAATTCTTTGTTATATAAAATATCTTACATAAAAATATTAGATCAGAAAAATTTTACCTACCGTAACAATAAATTTATTCAAAATACAGCTTTTAAAATTTAAACGGAAAAATAAAATAAGACATAATTTTTATTTTTTATAAGTACAAGTCTGTAAACAAGATTGTCACAAATTCTTTATTCTAAAATTCCATACTTCTTTGCGACAAAATTTCATGATTTTTCCTGACTTTCAATAATATTTAAAAATGTTGTTTCCTTCTGATTTTGGAAACTATTAAATATTTTGTTCAAAGATCAATTTAACATAGCAATGGAAATTAAAATTCATGTTGCATTTTTAATTATTAGTCAGAAGTTTGAAAATTTTGCAAATTCCCCTGATCTTTCCTCGATTCTCCTAGTCATTTTCAATTTACCTGACAATTTTCTGATTTCCAGTTTTGTGACAATCCTGATAAAAGTTAAAACCAAAATACACTATTTTGTATACAGTGTATTAAATCGAATAAAAATGCTTTATAAACGGCAATCAAAAATAGCAGTGTGTTGCCACTATTACAGAAAATAAATTTTAAAATTCCCTGACTTCCAAGTTTTCAGATAACAGTGGCATGACCAATATCAAATATGCAGTAAATATGTAATTTTAACATTTAGAAACAGGGAAGCGCTTATATATTACTAAAAATAACATATATTTATGCCCATTTCCACCAACGTAGATTAATTTTAATCTCGATTCAACTTACTCTGTGTCTTTTCTAATCTTTAAAATTAGAAAAAGACAAAGAGTGAGTTGAACCGAGATTAAAATTAATCTACATTGGTGGAAACAGACATTAGAAGCTTAGCTGCATAATGAAATCTTAGATGCAAATTCAAGCCAACAAAAAAATATTGATTCGAAAAAAGAATGCAGTTATAATGGAAAAGAATGATTAAATAAAAATATTGAATAAAATATATATATATCAATTTTAATAAAATCGTTTTGACTATTTTAATTTTAATTTTTACAGTTTGAGAAATAAAAAATATATTTAATAAAATATGTATCTTAATTATAACAAAGTTTAATTAAAGTGTGAATTAAGTATAGTATTAAACTGGAAATTAAAATAAAAAGTAAACTTTACATTGTGAGAAATATCTAATTTCTACATTTAAAAAAAGAATAATTACATTTCTTTTAACATAATGACTGATGCATGGTCTAATATATCGTTACTCGCGCTATAAACGCGACGCGTTCTCTTAGCGCCGAGACATTATCGTGTCTCTGAATACTGAGACTAAGAGAAAATCAATATTTATATTGATTATAAATGTCAGATATAGATATTATCTAAAAAAATATAAATAAACAGCAAGAAGGGGCTACAAGCCAGATTTTTTATGTATTACTTTTTTCCTGGAATCCAAAACTCAACTTTGTCAACCATATCATTTTATCTTTATTTATTGAATTTTAAACAAGGATAAAAGATAAGTCAGAGTCGTCACAATAAAAGTTGACACAATTGACAAGTTTTGGAACAAGTTTTTATGTGTGTGTAATATATATAAAACCACATAAATTCTCACTCACCAATTCTTACCCTCCAGGAGCAGGAACTTCGCCAATAGGAATAAAGCACCGGCTGTAAAAGGAAATAAGAGTGTTATGAATACTCAGCAAAGCTCAGTTATGCAAGTCAACCTTGAAAATTTAATATAATCAAAGTTGTAAAACCACATTCATACACTGGGGAAAAAATGTAAAAAAAAGTATAACCACTGATAGATATAAATAAGAATAAATTGTGGGTAACGAAATGCGCATTCATTAGAACGTGTTTATATTACATCTGTTGATATTATATAATGTTAATGATGGTCAATTCATTTAGCAGATATTCTACTACTTTTGATAAGCATGCAAGGGACAAATCGCTAGGCGATTTGAGAAATTATCATATAAAAGAATTTTTTTAAATGGGTATTTTTTGGCAAATTTTAAGCACAAAATATGTAAAAAATTTTCAGCTGTCCAAGAATATTTAAACAATATTTTTGAGAAATACTTTTCGTAAAATCAAATAATTTTCTCTTATATATTTATTCATGCAATTTTTATATATAACGAAAATCTCAAAAAGGAAGTTTAGAAGGGTCATACATATTAACGATAAAAAGAAATGTGAAATACACAAGTATTAAGTTTGCAATTCTGTAAATAATACAAAAACGGTTAACTTTTGAATTTTTGTATTTTTAGTCTGATACACTTTTTACGAATTTCATTCGCTTGCAAGCCGGAATTTTGAAGGAAATAATTCTGCGCGCATGCATATGATGAGTTGTATACTCTAACTACTCTATTCTATCAGAGTACGTTATATTTATATTATCAAATATATTCGCTAGTCGAGAAAAAAATTTCGCCACTGTGGAATTCTTTCTTTTTGAGCGGAAATAGAAACCGATCGTAAGATGCGCGTTCAGTTGACAATCGTGACGAATAAATGTAGGTAGTAGGATTTATTTTCGCGCAATCGCGGATTTCAGGATTTTGGGGGCAATTGTACATACACCGGCATTTGTCCAACGAGATTTACCGGTGCGTTATTTCGAGATATTGCAGTGAAATAATGCGTGATCACCAGTAAAGTATTTGCAGAACGGCCGACTCTGATGCTATCTTATTTTCCTCTCTCGGCATTTGTCTCTTTGCATTTTGTCTGCCTACATAAAGGTTAATTCACGCGTAAATACTCACCTTACCCATCGCGGACATCATCGGCCTCTCGCGGACAGCGCTCACCTTCCACCGCTTTTCGCCTGACTCGATTATTCGATCGATTACTCTGATATTGTGCCACCGAATCTGTCAGAAGTAATTTAGAATCGCAGAGAATGCGCGAAACTCTTCCCTTTTATTCTCGAGATTGCCGTTTCTTTTCTCCAACTCTCTTCACACTCCGCCGTTCCGTCCACCGGTCCTCCCCGCTCACCTGTCACGTGATCATTCGTGATGCAAGATGTAAGTAGATAATAGGTCTGTTCTTTTTCGAAGAATTCTGAATTCTGAACTAGTTCTCTTGCGGACAGGGTTGCCAACTTTTTGAGAGATTTTCCTACACGAGCATATCTCTAGGTCGGTTTTTTTATTGCTGCACTTTCTGAACTGATTACACACAGTGCAATAGTTGAAGTGACAGAAATATACATTTATTTTACTTTAACTTATTGCACTGGTTCCGAGCAGCAATAAAAATAGACCTTATATAATACCTGGTTTATTCTGCGGTCTTAATCCTAAAATTCTAAAATTCAGCCAATGAAATATAGATTTTAGATAGGACTTAATTAAGACTGGCAGTCCTATTGGTTGAATTTAAAAATTTTAGGTTTAAGAACTATAAGCATAAAATCCAAAATCTACAAAAAGAAACCTGAGAGAGGACACTAGTCTTTTTCCTAAATTTTAATTGTGTGCATCTCCTATCTTTTTTGATATTCTGCGAGTGATAAAAGATTTGTTTGCGTCGAATGCTCTAACATGCTCCATAGGTCCTACTCATTCCAACGAGTTCGTTGAAGTGAATAGGAACTATGGTAGGGGCATGTTGGAGCATTTGACGCGACAAATCTAAAGATAGAACGTCCATTTGTTGTGTCGACTTGTGTCTTGTGTCAAATGGAAAGCATCCCTAATTTTCATAGACAGGTGCTAAGACTAACATGGCTGCTACTGTGCTGCCTATTCGTCTTCTCGTGACATCGCCCTTTGTCTCGACAATACTTTTCTAATCAGCGAAGAATAAGGAGTACGAAAGGGAGAGAGAAAGAGTGAGTGAGAGAGAGGGAGACTACGATGACGACGACGACGACGACACATTAGATGGAACAGCGAACTTCAATGGAAGACTTCAGCTAGCAAAATGTCAACCCGATCGCAGCTTACAAAGGATTTAAATGGTTCGTCTCCGCTTTATCGCGTGTTTACGTTCCTCGTCATAACACTAGAATCGAACTGTTTTCCACGCGAATGCTCGTCTCTCCCGTTGGCGAACGTCAATATTGTTGCCCAACATTCTACATCTCGCGCGAGTTTCAGGATTAATTAGCCTGTCGTTGTATCCTTTTGGAGTAAAAAGGAGCGACTGGCCAGTAAAATCTTCGTACTATCTTTGATATACTTTTTTGTAGTAAAAGTATAACTGTGTGTAAATTTTATTCATTACTTGCAGAATCGGTGAAAGCGCTACTTGGCAAGCATGTAAAAATACTATTAAAGAATGTGGTGAAATTGGAAACAAAACAGGATAAACAGGAAAATCGTGTTCTCGTGAGTAATTGTTTTTTCCGATTTTTTTTTCTCTGTCTCTCTTTTTGCAATAATTTTTTTATTTTTTGCATTGTAATAAATTGATTTTGTCTTGTCCTTAAGGTGTTCTCGCCATGTCGCCTCTTTCTCTTATCGGCCAAAGTACCCACAAGAGTAAGTACTTTAATTTATATTCTCTTTTAAGCCGTTTAATCACTTTATGAATTACGATTTCTGGTTGAGTTGTACTTTATAGTGTCTTTCACTGTAGCAGATTTGTACCAATCTGCATTCGATTAATGCTGTACTATTGGTTGTCATATATTCTACCAATAGACCATAAACATCATTAATCTAACCCAAGTTGATGTAGGTCTGTTATAGTTGAAAATGTTGTTAGTCTATCACTTTGCAGCTGGCTATATTCTCTGCATCATGATTGACTAAAATAAGATCAGAAATCTACAAGTTTTATCAATATAAGACTAATTTAATCTTGGCTCCACACATTTGCTCTTTATCTTTTTTTAATTTTGAGAAATAGAAAAAGATAAACTTTTAAACTGAGATTTAAATTATTCTGAAATGGAATCGGATCATAAGTGTGATTTACTCTTTTATTACCATGCTGCATTTAAATTTTATTCTTTTGTAGATCGACTGCCATTTTCATTATCTAGAAGTAACGGCCATAGAGTCGAGAAGAGCAAATCAGCTATGTTTGACCGTCGGCGAACGGTATTACAATTTTACTACAAACAGCGTCGGTGGAGATACCACGGAAGTAGACGCTATGATAGAGGCCTTACATACGGCAATTCGAAATATCTTTCCTACAGTACCGTTAAAGTATGTTTTGCTTCATTTTGTAGTCAAGGAACGCTTGCGAGATTCTGCTGATCATGTATTTTAAATATTTTTAGTTATATTATACGAAAAATAGAGGTAATACCAGCTAGCAGATTGCAGAGTATACGAGGAAGCGAGTTAGCTAGAAGCACAGAAGCCACGAGACACACAGGACCCTGCGGTGGTTTCTCCACTCAATATGCATGCATGTGTGACTTGCATGGTGTACCGTACAGGGAGGAAGTGGCCTGGGTGAGATTGACGGCATCGTTAAAATTTGCTGTAACAATGTCGAATTATCTGCTACAAAAATCTTATTTAGACAGATACGAATTTTAGGATGTCGACACAATATACCTTTCACATGACACCAGAGAGCTGAATTTGACAGACTTCGATCATTTAGATCAGAAGGACTTGGTGCCAATTATCTCGGCCTTGGAATATAACACTTGGTTCACTAAATTAAGGGCATCTCACCTCAAGTTAAATCACGAGCCTTTAGAAAGATTGTTACATGTTATGCGAAGATCTTTGTCCATTCAAGAGCTTTATTTAGATAATCTCGGGATTAAGTGGTAATGGTTTAAGCAATTAGTTTTTACACAGAAAAAATATTTAATGCATAATATACAAATATTTGTTTTTGAAAGGGATTTCGCTCATAAGCTGTCGTTAGCCTTGATCTCTAACGCTAACACGATGTTGCAAACAATAGATTTGTCACACAACATGATCGAGGATAAAGGTATATATTAATTAATTTCAATTATTTATTCAGTATTCTTTTTGTATTTGAAATCTTTATCTGCACTACAACCCATTGAGCTCTATTTTCCGATTGTTAACCATAATTTCAAAAGTGTCCTGAATAGATTTTTATTATATTTTTTGTAGGAGCCTCTAGCTTGTGTGGGATAATAGCCAAGTTAATGCAAGGTGTGCAATAACCATGTATTTTAATTATTCCTAGTAATTATACAGGCATGGGAGCAACTCACTTTTCTCATTTATTTATTTAGAAATATCACTTTCTCTCATTTTTCTAAAAAAGACTCACTTTTCTCACTTCCTTCTTTATTTTGAGCAACAGATATATGAAAATACGAAAAATAGTAAATAGATAACATTTTCTAGGACTCCACAGAGGCAGTGGGAACTTTTGTCTGTTCATGTTTTGTGTGTGTGATTATTTACTATCAATTTCAACATTTATCAATAAATACATGAAAAATAAGTCATTTTCATATATATACACTATCGTTCGTAAATTTGAGAACGATTTCCTTCGCATCTTATGAAAAATTAAGTATCTTGGTGAAACAAAATCATACAAAAGTTTTCAAAGATGTTTTTTAAAGAGAAAAGATAAAACTGTAAATTTAGTTTTTAATTTTGTTTTTGCAGTATTTTGTTCCTAAATGACATAAAATAAAAAAAATTTTTTAAATATTTTTATTTTACTTTGAAACATTTGTAAACTGCTAAAACATTATTGAACAAAAATTTATGAAAAAATTTTAAAATAGGCTCTGAAAACAAATTTTTCTTTTGTTTAGTTTCTGTAAAGTATTTCATTTAGAAGTTGACGTTTTGTTAAAGTGAGTTTTTACTCAAGAAATTCAATATTGTGAAAAATCATTGTACTTTTTTAAAATCAATTTTTTTAATATCTAATTTATTATGTAAAAACTAATTTTTATAAACTTTGAAATTAAATAATTTATAGAAAAAGAGACAGAAAAAATTTTTATTGTATTATCGATTTACATGAATAAAGAAAATATTTTTTAAGACTTTTTAAAAATTTTCCGTGTTCTTGAATTTACGACGGTAATGTTATCACAACAGCTGATATCATCCCTGAGCTCGGCTGGCAGGCCGAGTTGATGAGGAAAGCGTAGACTGTAGAAGCCACGCTCTGTCGAGCCTGCTCTATGTATTACGAATCTTTTTTGTTTCCCTATGATATAAGATAATATGTTTTATTGTTATATAAATATAAACAGTATATAATAAATGAACTAATTTTTAACTTATATATTCTCTAAAAAAAGCTAATTTTTTTACTATTTTTGAAAAAATAGCTAAACTGCTCCCTTGTCTGTACTAGTATATGATATGCTTTTCCTTTAAACATGCTTTATTTTATAAACTTATGAAGAGACTTGTATTTATTTCTTTTTTTTTTTATTTTGAATTATATAATATTCCAGATTTTACTCTATACACAAGCATTGCGTTAATATGTAAAAAATTATTGATCTTTGCAAGCAAAAGCTTCTATTATTTTTATTATTTGTACACCAGACAAAATTTGTAATATATTTTTAAGGTGGTACTCATCTGAGCGGTCCTATTGGCAAGTTGCCTAAAGGTTTACAAGAATTAAATTTAGCCCACTGTGGATTGACCGGGAAAGGTATAAGTCAAATAGCTCACGCATTAAGTTTGAACAGAAGCATGCCGACTAGTTTGCGATATCTGAATCTTTCGGAGAACACCTTGAAGGACGACGTCAATGTGAGTTTGTAACTGCAGGTTGATCTTGTGGCGATAAGTTACAGAATCTTAATTTGTGTAATGATTACAATAATTAAAATTATAATTCGTATTTAACGATTGCAGAATTTGTGCAATTTCTTGGCACAACCTAATAGTTTAACACATCTAGATCTTAGCGGTACGGATACTACTTTAGAATATGTAAGTAGTTAATTTTGCATAGCCTTCTTTTAAATAATAACTTTAATACTCGATCGTCCTAACAGAAATTTAAATCAATTTAATGGAAGGTAATGTTTATTAATGCTTTTAATACTAAA